AAATGGTATTTCTGGAAAAATTACCGTATGACAATTACCAATTAAAGGAAAAGCTGACAAGACTTCTAATCTTAGGTTATCATTACAAATGGGAAGCAACTTAGTACTGGTTTTATGAGCTACATCCAATTTTCCTTACCCTGATTTATTATGTTTATGAGTTTTTAGGCCATCACCCTCCCAGTTCCCCCAAAATATAGCTAATGCCTTCAAAACCTGAAACAGCATTTCTTTAAAAAGATATCGCAAAATTTACAACAACAAAAATCTTAAGTAATAAAATCAAGTGTGAGGAGTAGCTATAGCAGAAATTTTACTTGATCAGTTGAAAACCCCAAACTGTAGACTGTGGGCATTTTTAGGTAGTGAAAAGATTATCATCTAATAATATAGCCAAAGCCTAGGGGAAGCCACCCCTCTTCTTGAGAAATTAATTTTCATTTCCTATATTAAATCTCCAGGGAAGATAAAACAGAGCCCCTCCATACAAAAAGTTGGGGAGAACACCCAATCCTTATCATATGTTCTTTAATAGCAGCCAAGTCTAATAGCATAGCCTGTTTGGTAATGTAAATAGTATCTACGAAGAATTCAACTCAGAATGCAACAAAGCCATATTTCCTCCAGAGTACACCCTATGAAGCCATCAACAATGGATATTTATTTAGGACTGGTAATATGTCAAACTCTGTGAGGCACTGTGAGACACATGACAGAATTTTGAGTGGACTGTACTATTTCTTTCTCGTTGAAGAGGTAAGATCAAAAGACATAAAACAACCGTATATGGTATTTAAAACATCCTCCGTGCACCTCAGTTAACTTCACGTAATATGTAATGGCCATATTGTAGGTAAATATTATAAACACAATAGAATTAGCACTATTATTAAGAAACAAATTTCACTTACCAAAGAAAGCCCTGAAACCTGGTAAGTACTCATACTCAATCCAGGTTAAGTTTTCACATGTTATTTCCAAGCAGTCTCTTTTAAAAAGGAGGGGGAGAGGAGGCATGGGAGAGTTTAAAAAGATCTTTCAGAATAGATGACTTGACATCCAGTTCTGCAATAAACCCAAAATGTTATCAATCTTTGGACTTGAAAGTCCTTGACATATCCCTTCCTTTCAACATTTCAGTATCACTACTCAGGCTTGTCAATTTTTCCTCCAGAATCTCTCATTTGCTCTTTTCTTTCTCATTATTCTCATTTCTTGATTGGATTTGCTCATTTATTCATTCATTCATCATTTACCAAGTGTCTATTATCCGTCACACACAAAGCTAGACCCTCGTCCTTGCTCTTATGAAGCTCAGGATACTCAGTAGAGCTATTATCTGCCCATCTTGATTGCCAGATTGTAAACTTTAGCAAAGGCTTTGTATTTTCAGATCCTAGCAGCATCTGGCATACAGCGGACACTCTAAAAATGTTCGTGTGACACTAGATCACTTTAGCAAGCTTTTTTAATCCATAAATATTTTAGTACAGCATGTATCTTCAAAAAGGACTCTTTTAAAATACAAAAGCAATATGTGCACAATGCAAAAATCACACAGAAAGATATAAAGAAAACAGTGAATTCTCCTATCCCCTAAATCCCATTTCCAGAAGTGACTACTACTACAGTTTGGAATGTATCTTTCCAGAACTCACCTATGCTGGTATATAATATGCACACATGCACAACCACACTTTTTTGGAACAAGTTCTTTGATAGTTTCTCACACTAGCTTCTCAACCTTCTAATCCAGTGATTCTCAAAGTGTTGTCTCTGGATTAGAAGCATCATTAGGGAACTTGTTAGAAATATAAATTATTGGGCCCTATTCCAGTCCTACTGAATCACACATTCTGGATTTTGATAAACTCTCCAGGTGATTCAGGTGTGCACTAAAGGCTGAGAACCATTGCTCTAATTCAGTCAAGTCACTGAGGTCAAGGAAGTTTTTTTCTGTCCCTTAAACATGTCAAGCATTGTTATCTTGCTTCAGTTTTACCACCCTATTTCGAAATGCTTTCTTTGTCCTTTAATTAATTCTGACCCTACCAATCTGTCAAAGTCCAGAAAGTCCTAACTCCTCCCCAAAGTGCTCCCACTACCACAGCTCATACTGCTTCCTCTTGCTCCTCTCCCAACTCTTATGCCATACCTTCCACCACACGATTTAACAATCAGGTACACACTATTTTCAATGTCAGGGAACAGTTCTTTACTATTCCTCAACAGATCATAAACTCCTCGAAGACACGAATCATTTTTGTTATCTCTTCCTCAACCCTGTGCTAAGCACATAAATGGAGTTTTAATAGAGTTGCTGGTTAATGTCTTTACGTATGAATTAATTCACTGAAATACGGATAAAACCTTTAATGGATAAAAAAATCTGGATTTCAAGTTGTAGCCCCAGTTTTGTGACCTTGGACAAGTTCACGTTTTAGGATGAGGATTATAAAATAGAGAAGACTGATGACTTGATGGTTATTGAGCTTGAACAGTGTTATGATTTTATGAAATGTCCCATATTCGAATACCTTATTCCATTATACTCATATTACTTTGCTTGTAATGCTATTATGGCAATTTTTAGACCTGACTTGAGTTACAGTTTGATATGGTATTTCTCAGTTAGCTAGTAAGTTCTTTCAACAGGAGTCATGTTTTATTCAACGGTGAATCTTCTACCATGCCCAACACCATGCCTTCCATATAACAGTTCAATACATTTGCAGAAAATTATTTGGAAAAAACCCTTTCAAAAGCTTAATTTATGTAGAGAACCTGTGCATAGATCTGCTGCCTCTCAAAGGGCCTTTTTGAATACTTATTATTATAAATACTATGAAATGATTAATGGTAAAAATTGTGACTACTCTGATAGCACATGGGGCAGTCAGCCACATAAGGCAAAGAATGTAAAAATGAATCTAACATGCATCTAGGAATAGACTAAAAGGCCATAAGCCTCAGGCAACCTTACTGTAACATACAAATAAAAACTGCTCTGTACACTTGTGGCATATACCAACTCCACTGTTGGAGATAAACAGGCTTCATGATGCAGGACCCTTATTTGCAAATTTTCAGAAACAGGCTGGACTGGAGACCTCTGAATGGTGGGTAATGACCAGCAGTTGAATCTAAAGGGAGGGGCATCACAAGGAAACATTTTTTTTCTTTATTCTTTTCTTTCTTTATATTGTATCTATATGAAAAGATGGATGTTAGCTTAACATATTGTGGTAATCATTTCACAATATATGTAAATCAAACCATTGTGCTATATGCCTTAAATTTATACAGTGATGCTTGTCAACTATTTCTCAATAAAACTGAAAAAAATAAAGGAGGGACAGCAAAGATAAATGCAAGGGCAAGAAGGAAGAACAGAAGGGCAGCAGGAAAACACTGCTCTTTGAGTAATGAAAAAGAATAGTAGAAATTCACTGAGTCTTTACCAAGGGCCTACTATGAGCCAAGCACTTGGGGCTGCAAAGATGGCCCCTGACCGAAAGGAGCTAAAAGCCCTAATGGTAAGACTAAAACCTCTATCCTACTGTGTGTGTGTGTATATATCTAATTGGGAAAATCAAGCAAGGAAGGCTTCACAGAGAAGGTGGTGAGTTAGTGGAGCTTTGAGGTATGTAAGGAAGATTTGCTAAGAAAAGTCTGAGCTACTTATTTCGGGGAAGAAATATTCACATATTTTTACAGCTGTTCCTTTGAGACTTTAAATTAAATTATGGAGGCTTCTTATATTCAACACCACTTTGTCAATGCTCTTTCGCTTTTTACTTTACCTTAAATTTTAAGATGTTCAAGCCCAGGGTTGGAACAGAGCCAGAAAGCCCCAGAATGAGGTGAGTGTTCGCCAAATCTGCTCTGTCACCTCCACATGCAGCCAGCCCAGCTAGCTTTCCTGGCAGCCAGAAAAGGAAGGCTAATTATATCCTCTGGGGGCCAGGCTAGGGGGAAAATTTGGATGCAGGCATACAAGGTTTACCCCCTGTCCTGCCAGTAAGCCACGGAGGGAGAGCTTCTTTCCCTCTTAAGTCATGAGTCTCCAAGTCTACCTGTGACAGGGAGGCCAGCTCTGCAGGAAAAAAGGGTGCATGAAAAGGAAGGGAAAAGCATTGGATAAGTAAATGCTGAGGTTATTAAGTGAGATAATCTTAATTAAATATTTAGCAAGATCCCTGGCACAAAGCAAGCGCTGGATGAACATTAGCTCTTACTAATAACATTACTATTATTATTACAGCAACACTTCAATTGCACGCCAAAAAGAAAATACTGTTTTTGCAGTCTTTTCTGACAGTGAAGTAACTCCAGAGATAAGTATATTTCAAATTTTTCAAAGTACAAGATCAAATTCCAACTATAATGGCCTGAAAAACCCTGAGGCAAGAGCCAGCCCCGCCTCTTGCCAGCTGCGTGACCTTGGACCAGCGCTTTACCTCTCAGCCTCAGTTTTCTCATCTGTCAGGCGGGGTGAAGAAGCCCCTCCCTCGGAGAGTCGTCATGGGGTCCCGCCAGAGGGTACTCTTTGCTGTATCAGGGCCGCACGAGTGCAAAGCGAGCTCACTGCCCATCCTCCAAGCCTACTTGGCTCTGGAGTGGGTGGGACAGAAGGGTGCCTGACACCGAGGAACACCGAGCCCCGTCTCCGGCAGAACAGAAGCGGGAAGGGGGTTGCGCCTGAGGTGGGTCCCTGCAACCAAAGACGTGGGGCGCCCCTTGGCTCGACCCTGCCGCCTGCACACTGTCGCCAGCGGGTTAGCCACGGAGTGCCGCAACCTGGACTCTGGGAGCCGCCAAGGGAGGCCGGGCTGACCCCGGTCCCGCGGGCCGGGAGGGATCCAGAGAAGGTGAGCAGCGCGAACCCGGGGCCCCACCGCGGAGCGGAGACTAGGCGGGGAAGGAGAAAGCAAAAGGAGCGACGCCCCCGCAAGCAGCGCAGCGCGTCCCCAGAGGGCCCCGCTGAGGCGCTCACTCACCTGAGGCGCGGGTACCCGCCGTCAGTGCAGCAGCCGCGTCGGCGTCGGCGGCAGCAGCAGCGCCGAGAGGGGCGGGGGAGGCTCTGCGGCCGCGCAGGCGCACTGAGGATGCCAGGGTTGCGCAGGCGCGTCGGGCTCGCCCGCCACGGGAACTACCAAGATGGTGGCTGAGCCGAGAGGGGTCCCCGGCACCATTTTGGATGGAGTTTTTCTGGCTGAGGAGTGGCTTTGGAGAGGAACTTTAAACGAGAACGACACGGTGGAAAGGGCGTTGAGCGTTGCGTCTGGCCGACTTCCTCCCTACCGCCAAGTTGCATCCTTATGAAAACTCTAAGAAATACTATGATCTTTTTACAGGGGCCCAGAGCCGTTACACAAGGTACATGGCTAACACAGTGCTTAGCACGGGAAGGGGCTTAGTAAATTCTTGCTGAATGGATAGTGACTTAAGAATTAGAATCCAACACCCAAGGCTCTTAATTCCCAGTCCTCCATTATATCACTGTATTACAACGCCAGCCACACCATGTCCTTTCTTGGGTGCAAAATGAGAAATCGAAAAATTTTTTTCAGAATGATTATGCACATTAAGCTTAATGACCCAGCAATTTACATAATACCAAAACGTACCGGACCACTTCCCTTTATCAAGAATTTATAATTTAATCTTGTGGAAATAAAGGAAAACATTGTTTAAAATGGAGTTGAGAGTCCAGAGGGGGAGCCCTCAGGCACTAGCACTTAACATGAACTACAGACTCCAATAGGAAGAATCTTCAATTACCAACCTCAACAAAAGAGACGAACCTTGCAAGTCAATACTACAATAAAAAAAACAAAATTTGACCGAGTAAATGTGGAGAGCTAATGGGCTTTATTAAGTGATTCATGAATGGGCTAGTATCCCGTCTAGCAAGTAGAAGAGTGCTTTGTGGAGTTGTACAAAATGGAAGGTTTTTATAGGAAGAAGACTGAGGCAAGGGAACTATTTTTTTTAAAAAAGGAATTATTATTGGGCCAGGACACCTGCTTGGGGTGGGGATGGAACACAAGGAAAAGGTTTTTATCGTGCAAAAAAACCTGGGCCTTAACCTGGGCTCTGGGAGTCGCCAAGGGAGGCTGGGGATGCGGACAGTCCACATGACGTTACCTGATTGGTGACCAAAATATTCCAGACAAGTTGATCAAGATTGTGTTTCTGGGAGATGTCGAAACTGCAATTAAATATACGTTCGCTATCTTGGGCTTTTAGCAAGAGTGATGCCATTGTGGGCCTGTGGTTTTCTTATTAACACTACTCCAACAGGAGGAAGATTTCCTTCCTTGCCCAGCAATTCAGCCAGTGAAAAACTGTCCGCACCCTAAACTCTTGCTTTCCCCCAAGGGACTTTTATTGGAAACAACCCCTCCCAACTTCTTCCTTTTTCTCTGTAAAGCAATGTTCTTCTCCTTTGTTTGCTGGACTTGCCTGTGGTTTTTGCTATAGCATGCTTGTCCAGAATTGCAATTTTGTGCCATTCCCAAATAAACCCATTTTGCTGGTAAAATAACTGGTTGTCTTATTTTTAAGGTCAACATTACATCACCTGGGCATTGATGGTAACAGCAATAGAGTACCCTACTCTCTCTCATACATTGTTTCTTTATTAAGTATCACTGACTAAAAGATATTCTCTTAACTAAATTAGAATGTAACAAATATTACCAAACATCTCAAGGGGAATGACTGTCTATATTATTTATCAAACCCAATTCCTGAACCAAATAGTGAAAATTAATATTAACTGAGCATAGCTTTTTATATATTTATTAACATTTACTAAGTGCCAAATTAGTTCTAGTTCAACCTCCACTACTATCTACATGTCCTTGGTTAAGTTATTAAGCCTCTTCAATCTTGAGTTCCTCATCTATGACAAAAAAAAAACCAGAAGTTATCTCATAAAGTTATGGTCTGTATACATGTAAAATGCTTAGGACTATTTTTCTGTGCTCTATCCTGTTTAGCCGAATACAAAAACATACTTCTTATAATTTTGAACAAATTCTTATGAACAAAAAGTGCAATAGTATAATAAATAAAATGGAGGAAAGCACAATCACCTTTGGAGAGAAGTGATCTATCCCCATTCTACAGATGAGGGAGGAAATTGGGGATAAAAGATGAAAATTCGCTTCAAAGCCATGCTCTTTCCATTATACTACTCTGCTTCTGAAAGTATAGGAAATTAACACCACTCCTCTGGTTCTTAAAAGCCCCAGCTTTCCTTGAGGGCTGTCCAAAGTTTCCCTTCTTGTTCTACTCTGGACAATATTATCCACTCTCAAGACTTCGATAACTAAGTATTAGTAACTTCCAAATTTTATCTCTAGATTTTTCAGTTTTCCAGTTTAGTTGACTTCTTTGCTTGGTATCCCAAATTGAACTACTAGCTTCCCTATCTCATTAACGGCTCTATTATCCACCCAGTTGTTCAAGTTTTCCCTCCCGCCATCATACTGTCACTGTTCTAAACTTATTTAACCCCGATAGCATCCCTGTGCTTTATAGTTCCCATCATTCTCCTAATCTTACATATGAGGTTAAATAGATTTTTCTTGTTACAAATGGCAGAGATAGACTTTTAACTACATGCCTATGTTCCAGACACTATGAGGATCTTACCCCACTCACCCACTGCCAACACCTAGTACAGGCCACCATTTTCCATCTAGACTACTGCAATAGCCTAACTGGTCTCTCACAACCATACCTTGCTTTCTCCTGTTCTCCACACAACAACTAAAATGATCTTTTAAAAATAAAGTCCTGATCTCATCTCTCCCTCTCTTAAAACCCTTCTGATGACTGAATTTGTCTCAGATGGCTCTTCTAATGGATTCAGCATGCTTACGTTACTATTTTTTAAATATCCCAGAATGCTTCATTCTCCCTCCTCAGGTCTTTGGAAATGATCTTTTTGCCTCAAATACTTGCCCTAGTCAACACCCTTATCCTTCTCAAATCAACTGAAACATCACTTTTGCAGAGTTGTTTCTTCTTATTCTGTGTCCCCACTAGACTGTGAGCATCATGAGAGGAGGTCCCATGTCTGCTTTTGTTTTTTGCTCTCTCCCCAGTTCCTAGAACTGTGCCTGGCATACAGGGGAGGACTCTGTAAATATATGAAATAATAAGGAATGTAAGTCGAAGCAAGGAGATATCACCTCTCACTAATTGGTGCTTAGGCCAAAGTTTAAGACTTAAGATCATGACTAGGTATTTAAATGAAACAGGTTTTGTCCTACTAGGAGGATCAGAGAATAGGAAACATTAACCCTCTTTCCACCATCTTGCCATGCCACCAAATGGTATGCATGAATGTCTTGGCTGATGCATTCAAGAGCATCAAAAATGCTGAAAAGATAGGCAAATGCTAGGTTCTTATTGGGTCGTGCTCCAAAGCCCTTGTCCAGTTTCTGTGATGAAACACAGTTACATTGGCAAATTTGAAATCATTGATGATCCCAGAGCTGGGAAAATTGCTGTGAACCTCATGGGCAGGTTAAACAAGTATGGAATGATCTGCCCTAGATTTGATGTGCAACTCAAAGATCTAGAAAAATGGCAGAACCTGCTCCCATCTCGTCAGTTTGGTTTCATTGTACTGACAACCTTAGCGGGCATTACAGACTGTAAAGAAGCAAGACAAAAACACAGGCAGGAAAATCTTGGGATTCTTTTTCTAGGGATGTAATACATACATGCAAATAAAATGTCTCAATGGACAAAAAAAGAAAAAACGAAAAAAAGAAACATTAACAATAAATTAGTTGTTTTATCAGTAATTAATGCTGAGGCACATCTCTACACTACATTGTTCACTTCCACATCTTGGTAAAGAAAATAGGATTCTTTTTTCTTAAAGAATCCTATTTTCTTTACCAAGATGTTCTCCTTTTTAATTTTTTTTTACACACTCAAAATATACACAAAGACAAGGAAAATCTTTTAATTATGTACAATTTTATAATGCAATTATTACCAAATATAGAGAACAATGAAAAGGAATACTTAGCCCCCTTCTTGAATCCAGAATTTAAGATGCTGACTCAATATTAAAAGCTGAAGCACACTATAGGCATTAGGACATAGAGAATAAGTGGTATTTCCTTCGATTTGTGAAGTGATATAAGTATCCACATGATGTTAAACAATGCCCACAATTTCTCTACCTAAAGTCACCTCAGGGCCACACTAGAAAATTAGTCTCATTCCTTTACAACCAGAACCCAACTTGACCCCCCAAAATGTTTCACTGGATTTGACCCTGAATAACTCTGGAATGACTTGAAAAACATCTACACAAGATGAAGATTTCTGATGACAAAGAATATTTAAAAGAATTGGCTACTAGTTCTTAAGGTCATTCCAAAAATTTAAAGTATTTGCACATTCTTGGAAAAAGTATCTATACAACATTCTTTTGGATACATAAATGTTGAAACTTTTAGAAAAAAATCGAAGTGCTCTATAGTCAGCCAGTTATCCTTAAAGGCAACCGGGCAGATATCAACGGCTCATTTGCCACACAGTCGCCATGCACTGCAACACCCTTCCCATTTTTCTCCTCTAGAGCACCTTGTGGCAGAAAAGCTGTATAAGGTCACTGAAAAGATTTAGAGCAATGTGCAGTAGGCAGCTTTTGTAGCTGGAGCTTGAGCAGTTTTCGAGCTGGTGAGGGATCTAATTGTTGCATGCTTCTCTTCCCTGCAGAGGAAAAGAGCCAAAAAGTAAATTTCAATTAAATGCAAATAACATTTATTGAAAATGTATATGGACACTGTGCCAGACACTATAGGCATTATAATGACAAATAAGAGTCTCTGTCCTCAAGGAGATGACAATCTGATAGGAAAGCCAGCAGTAACTACAACCATAATATATGTGATGAATAAGAAAAGGTATATATAGCAATAATTTAGGGCTGGAGTAGGTCAGAAAAAGCTATGGAGAAATACTATCAATGTCACTTAGTGGATTCTTGAAGAATGAAAAGGGGGAAAATGCAATGGGTATTAAGTCTTGGATTTACTAAAATGAGATGGTTTGTGGGGATTTTATTCTTAGTCTACTATGCTTCTGTGGAATTTACATCTAAAATTTCCCATTAACTTTGAATATCTACAACATAATAGTCATTGTGAGGGGGAAAAAAATCATTTGATGTAGACCTTATCTCTGAGACCATATGCTTTCAAGGGCAGTTTGTATCAGAGGGTTATCACTCTGGTCCCTTCAAGAGACACACTTACCAAGCTGTACTGACACCTTCTGGAGGCATTGGGTACCTTCGTCCATAAAGGTATGCAGCTGCTTGACTGATCCTTGCAGTTCGTCCATCTGCAGATGAAAGACAGTTGCAAGCTTTAAGGGTCCATGGCTTCTTTAATGTCCCTCAAACGTACCAGGCAAGCTCCTGCCCAGGAGCTTTGCTTTTGCTGTTCTTTCAGCCTGGAGTGCTCATGCCAGGCGTATTCTTTCTGATCCTCCGGATCCACACCCCTTTCCCACACCACTCTATGCGCCAGCTGGCTGACCTGGATAATGTCTAATAAGATCCTATGTCCTGTGGCTTCTGGGTGGGTCTGGTCAAGAAGGAGCCCTAGTGGGAGGAAGCTGAATGAGCTCAGGGTATTTCTACTCAGGCCTGCTCCGGGAAGGATGATCTTGAGTTAGTTGTCTCTCAACAGAAGGTCATGGCTCTCTCAGAGCAGCCTACTGTGTGACTTTCTCCCCAGTGTGACTTTCTGCCACAATAACTGTTCCTCCCCTCCTCCCTTCAGGCAGTAAGAGCTTAGCTGCCTCTAAGCCCTAGGTTACTTCACTAACCCTTGTGGTTTCCCAATACCCGCACTTTATACATAGCCCCCTTATAAATAAACTCTCCTTGAATTACCCTTTCTTGACTGCTTCCTGTTAATACTTGGAATGATACAATATTACTCTTCAAAATGTCCTCCTGGCTCACTTCATTTCTTTTTAGTCTGTTAAAATGGCACCTTAGAGGGACCTTCCACACCTGTTCTATATAGCAATCTACTGCCCTCCCTGTACTCTCTCTCCCTTACTCTGCTTTATTAGCACTTATCGCCATATATTTATTTATTTTTTATCGTCTCTCCATGTTTTGCCAAGGTAGAGTTAAATATACTTATCTCATCTTATTACACATATTCTCCAGGTCTTTTCATTTCCAAGGATGACAAAGTAGCAAAGTTGGATAACTCAACCAAATATAAACATGAGCCAACTCACCACCAACTCCATACAATCAAAGATTTTGCTCTGGTTCTGTAATATCTCCTGGTAGTCAGGCTTTGTGTTAAGGACTTCAATCTGAGAAGACCCAAAACATGTTGTAGGTTCCACTTCGACTTCAGTAATTTCGGCTGCAGTTGCTCCTCTAAAAACAAAATAAAACAAACAAAAAAAGAGCTTTCAAGGAATGTTAAAATTATTTTCTGGGGAAGACATGAAAAGATGACCTAGGGAAAAAACCTCCAATAAGACTTTATTAACCTGTCCCAATACTTTTCCACCTGACTCCTTATTAACAAGGGGTTCTGGAACAATTATCCATTATTAATGTTTTTATACCACTGAACTCCAGGAAATGCTAGAAGCTACATGTCAGTTGACTCTGCCTAACAGTAAGGTCCATTTACAAAAAGGACTATAGGTGGGGTGGAGTAAAGCCAAATCTTGCTATTCTGAAGTCAATGTCTATGATCTTTCACCAGAAGAAAGCTGGGCCACTTCAACTACCTAAAAAAAACAGTATGATAAGGAGTTCATGAAAATCGATGATAACTCTCTATTAACAACTACTACAATTTAGTGAATGCCAGATACTTTCCATTTAACTTCATTTAACACTCACAATAACCCACTCAGGTAGGTACTAACATTATCTCCATCTGCAAACGAGGAGCTTCAGGCTTAGACATTAAGTGGCTTGCCCAAGGTCACAAAATGAAGCAATAATTAGGATTTGAACAGAAACAGCCTGCTTCCAGAAGTGTTCCTCTTAACCAATAAGCTATGCCACATCGAAAGTTTTTATTCTGAAACTGCCATCTTATACATTACCTATCTTCATGAACAGAACATGTAAGGGGTGACTAAAGATAACCATGCTTGGATTGGGGAATTTTTTCAAACCATATTTCTCAAAGCACCTCTCTACAAAGAGGCTACTTTTGCAAATAGGGTTTTGGCTAAAATTTTATAGTTGGGTTTCTAGCTAAGATTCTATTTGGAGAAAAAGCTTAAAGTCACTGGCTTAGATGGTCAACTAAATCAATATCTAGCACTTTCTCACTTTCTTAATGTTAAAGACCCAGACAAAATCCTTTCTCCTGTACAGCCTCTTCCATCACCTTCGAGTCTTTGCATCTCCATGAAGGCTCTCTGACCAAGGTTCTCTCCCACACTTGACAGCTGGGAGAACCTGACCAAGGTTCTCTCCTACACTTGACAGCTCTCAAAGGCCAGATATTCACTCAAGTCCCCTGACTATTATTTTTGACCCAGCCCCATGTTGCCAGGTACAGGGTAGAGATGTGCCTGTTTCCCCCAGGATGGGGAACAGCAGCGAAAGACACAGAACAGAAGCAATTCTGTTCTACGACTGAAAATAGTGTCACCAACCCTCCCCTCCTTCTCCTGACTCTCCATTATGGTCAGAGAGTGATAATAGACATTTTATAGAGCTTTGATGAGTTGCTTGGCTTATGAGAAAGGATTCATCATTCGAACTATGCTAACAGCTATCAATTCAAATCAAACTCCACACAAAGTAAAAAGATAGCTTCTGATGTCCAGTCGTAGATCTAACCTGGATATGATCTCATCAGCCTCCTTCTGGTAGTGTAGCAAGAGCTGATCCCAAGTCTGACGTTCTAAAGAAAACCTATAGAATCAGGAAAAAAAATTTCAGTTAATTTTTGATTATCTGAATCACCCAGGGCAACAAGAAGTACATTAGGTGCCTACTCTGTTTCTAAGACATAAATAAGATTATTAAAGGATAAGAAATCGAGACCGACTCAGAGGAAATTAATTTAGACAAATCAAACTTGAGTTCTTAAAATCAAATTAATATCTTTATTCCCCAGACTCCATAATATGAAATTGGCCATCAGTACAGCCCAAAAGATACCAATATGTAGCTTTCTAACTTCTAGTATTGATATACTAGTACTGACACTCAGAAAAAGATGTTTATTCTTCATTTTCTCAGGTTTAGTTATTGTCCCCAGAAGAATTTAGATTTTCCAACAAAGGTTCACTGATTTTCACTTACTTTGTTATGTATTCCTTCATCTCAGCCACTGATGTTTCCAGAGACAGATCTGAAGCTTTTCTAGAATACAGATAGGACTTTGAGATTAACACAAATCTTTCAAGAGCACTTGCTTTTAATATGACACCTTATATAATTTTAATGGCAATAAAACATGTTCAGAATTTATCTTTAAGAAATTAAACAAATATTTATTCTTGGACTCTATCTCACTTTTGCACTAGGTCTCATCTTCTATTTCTTTCATCAATTCCAATTCACAAATGGCCAGATTAACCTTTCTTAAAATATTCCTTTAATTTTTTTCCTTGCTTAAATACTGTGTTTACTGCATTTATAAGAAAAGTAAAAAATCCTTAACCTGGCACTTAAGGCTCTCTGTATTCTTGCTCCATTCAGTTCATTAAGTTTGATTCCTCCTGTTACCTTTTATCTATTCTTTGCCATATAATCCCACTCATCCTGACTCTGAATATCTGGGGTCTTCGATCTCTAAACTTTTGTTCACATGAATTTTTAGTCCCTTCCCCTCCCACTAATCAAAACCTTAACATCTTTTAAGGCCCAACAATACTTTTTCATACGACTATCTTGTCTTTTCACTTAAACTGAAGCTATCACAGGACAGGGATTATGTTTTACTTACATCAATGGCTCAGCTCAGCTAGATAATTAATCCTAATGGAAAGGCAGGCACTGAAAATGCCAAAATTTTGCAGATATACTTGGTACTCTACCTGACAACGATGAATTAGTTGTGCCATCTTTCATGTTTTTCTACCAAGGCCTGTGACACACAGTCTTTTATCACTGTGGGCTGAGATGCAGCAGCCAGCAAGCAGTAGCTTAAACATACTGCATTAAAACAGATGCTATGTTGAGCCAAATATTTTTCATTTCTTGAACACCAATGTTAAGTTTAAGGATTTTTGGAAAAGTAGACCTTTACAAAGTCAAAACTAAAAAGTTTATGATGTAAGCTCTAGTGACAAGATTTGTTGCAGGGCAGGGGTAGAGGGCTGGGCTCCATCCCTGTAGAGGAACTGCAAGTTTAAGGCTGGGATTTCTAAATTTCTCCTAATATTCTTACTTTCCAATAGCTAAAAAACACAAGTTTATCTCTAATTTGCATGGCTAGCAAAGATCTGAAGAATGCTTTTCCTATTTATCTTCCCATGGCTGGTTCTTTCTCACCATTCAGGTCTTTTAGGTCTCAGTCCAAAAGTCAATTCAGTAGAGGTCTTCTCTGAACCCTACCTAAGCCACCCCCTTAAGTTACTATCATTATTGATCTTAGATTATCACTATCTTAAATTATTATTTTCTACATATTTGTCTTTCCAATTAAAAATGTATAAGAAAAGAGACCTTGTTTGACTTAGTTATCACTATATCTCCAGTATCTAGAAGAGCCTGGTATGTAGAAGATGCCGGATAAATGTTTGTTGAGTAAATGAACAACTGACTAACTATAATAAAAAGTCTTAATTCAATTATAATTTAAGACAGAAGGGGAACTGAACTTACTCTTTTGAATCTTCAAAACATTTCTGTAGAGTGCCATTACTTTCCAGGCTGTCTGCAAAATGTTTTAATTCTTCAGAAAGAGAAGATGCTAGAGAAAATAAATTTACCTGTTATAAAGAGAATATAAATTTTCACAGCAAGCTGTTGACAAAGATGTAATAAACTTTAAGGGGTCTCAGCTCTAGGGTCCCACGTTACACTCTGGCCCTCTCACTCATTCAAAAAAGTGGTATAAATATGAAGAAAGATTTTATCTTTTTTCTTTAGGTAGGTATAGATAAAATGGAAGACAACTCTTCTTTATGACATTTATTGATAGTGTTTTTTATACTTCGCTGGTGAAAAAGCAGTTAAAAAGGTATATCAGCACTGACAATTCTTTTCAAGAGATGTGAACTGCTGGCACTGAAAGGAAATATGTTACAGAAGTCAGGCAACAAGTCAGGCAAGAATGTAATAAAAAATGTTAAAGGCAAATAAAGAATTACGGGCATATGGTGAAAACGGTTTTCTGCTTATGCCTGGAAGAGTCCATAATTACATTCAGGTGAAGAATGCATAGGGGAAAGGATACATTAAATAGCTATCAAGATAACCCTGACATATCTACTCTAATTATGGTGATGGTCCAATTCTGAGATAAACAATTTTAACTGATAAGTCTGAGTTCATGTATTTTCTAGGTCTTTTAAGTGGGTAAAATCTAGTATTCTGATCCTGAATAATTGTATAGTTACACTGTAAGAAGAGTTACTTCCCAGAAAGCTGAAAATTGATTCCTAGGAAAAAAATATTTATAACATATCAGAGATGAAGAGCTAATTTCCTTAATATAGAGAGTTCCTACAAATCAATATAAGAGACCAAACATGCCAATTTTAAAAAACGAACAAAGGATACAAACAGAAAATGAAGCACATATGGTTCTAGAAAATAAGAAAAAAATGCTATCCTCTTCAAAAGAAACAGATTAAAACTACAAAATACCTTTCCTCGCCTACGAAATAGTAAAAAATCTGAACTGTTTAAAAAAACCGTGTTAGTGAGTGTGACAAAACAGGTACTTGCATATAATGCTGGTGAAAGAATGAAATGATACAACCTTTCTGGAAGGCCATCTGGTAATTCTTACCATTTCATTTGACCTATTAATTTCAATTCTAGCAATTTATCTTATTTTTACTTGCACATGTGCCAAAAGGCTTGTGTAAAAAAGGTATTCATTACCCTATTCATTGTAATAGCAAAAGAGTGAAAACCCTAAAAGTCCATCCATAAGAAACTGGTTAAATCAAATATAGTACATTTATAAAATGGAATATCATGTGACTACTAAAATGTCAAGACAGCTCTATATGTGTGATACGGAGTAATATACAAGACAAATTTTTAGGTTAAAAAAAACAAGACAAGGTAAAGAACAGTACAGAGAGTATTATTTGATTTTAATGTATAAATGTTTGCAAAGGCAGTATCTCTGCACTGATACACAGGAAGCTGGTGGTAATGGCTGCCTCTGTGGAGAGGATGTGAGACTAGAGTTTAGGGTGGGAAGCAGGCTTACTTTTCACTTTTATACTTTCTAAACTTCCTTAGCATATGTTCTTATTTTTTTAAATGCAATTAAAACAGAAAGGAGCGGGGGCTGGTTTTGTGAAGTACCAGCTCCTTTAAATGGGGATCCTAAAAATGGGGCTTCAACTGACTTTAACAGAAGGTACAGCTCAAGGTCAAAGCTCACTCGTCCATTCTTAGGAACTTACCTTTGGCTCGGAAGCTTTCAAGACTGAAGCCCTCAGTGCCCCTTAAGAAAGGTTCAAGTTTCTGAACAGAGAACTAAATAAAGAAAAGCATTTTTAGTACGACAACCAAGATTTTCTAGGCCAGTCCCAATGACGTTCATGAACTGTTATGATGGTTAATAAATATGAAAGTAAACATGATTTAATTTTTATACCTAAGATCTTTTTCATATAAACAAATAGTTTAGGAAAAACTCTGTTAGTAAGACTATTTTTATTTTTAGTTTAAGAAAAAAATAGTCACTTAATTCACACAAATAACTTGCTTATCTAAACTGATGTAATTACCAGTTAGCCAAATACCGACTCAGTGTGTAGTCAGATCTCAAAGGTCTGCTTTAACTTAGATTTTGACCTCCGCTCACTTTAAATTTCCATCATTTCCTGTCATTTGCTGCCAATGGGCAAAAGATATGAGATTGGGGAAATCTCTCAGCTACTCAGTTAGCAGCAGCACCAAAAGGACTGATAGAGAGCATAGTCCAGGGGGAAATCAGCTGCTAGGATTAAATCTGGCTTTTAAATTAATCTCAACTAGAGAAAGACATCTCTTAATCTTAACAGATGCATCACACAGGACTGATTTCTCTTTGGGACTATATAGTAACAATTTAAAAAAAAAAAAAAAGGAAAAGAAAGCATTTCCCAATCCCGAGAATCTCACCTGGAAACTGGAAAGCAGGAGAGAACCAAGCCGTTTGCTTTCTGCTAAGCTGACACTGATGGATCTGCTGAGTTCTAACATAAAATATCGCATTTAAGGAGCTGGATACTTACAGTTAATAAAGTAAAAAAAAATTGAAAAATTTCCTCTCCTGATGCAGTCCAACTTAAGGCATGAATGCCCAAGCAACCTTCTCTAATTAAAGAGAGAATTCATATATAATCACATCTGATTTTTTTTCAGGATCGCCAAGGAATGAAATTTACCTATTAGTGCACCCTAACTTTAAAAAGTTACAAGACCTTCTTATGTATTACATTAAACTCTTGTCTTGTTAAACAAGGGAGATTAATAATATTACATTTTTAGTGTTTTATATTCACCAAAGAACAGAGATGGGAACATTTGAGCATTTTTATGACAGGCCCTGCAGTGTGCTCTAAAAACACTGTCTTAAGAGTCCTCTGATAAACTATGACCTCCATTTTACAAATGGGGAAACTGAAGCTCAGAGGGGAGATGACTTGTTTGAGGCCAGAGATTGATGAAGTGAGATTTCAGTCCCAAGAATGTTACCGAAACCTGTTTTTCCCAGTAATACCTTGCTGCCTTTTTATAATGACCTAATAATAATGTTAATAGTAATTTGTTGAACACTTACTATGTAAAAGGCTTTTTATTAAATGCTATACACACCTCATTAAAACTCGAGACAAGTATCTTATCAATGCCAAGTTACAGATGATAACACAGAGGCACAAAGATTAGGTAATAGGTAACTTGCCCAAGGTCACAAGGTGAGTCAGCCTAAATTGGATGGGCATTTCATATAATTATGCCACTGAATCCTCAGGATGTATATACTGTTTTTTTCAATTATGTCTATTTAAAAACATCACTTATTATTCAGCAAAGTAAGTTTGCTTTGAGAATTTGAGAGATACATATCTTTTGGTCCTCTAACTTCAGCTGGTTGTGTTTTTAAAGTTCTTTTGTCTCCTCTTTTGATTACTTCTCATTACTATTAATCAGGAAACACAGGATACCTTCTGCTTATAGCCAAAGAAATCTGGCAAGTGGCCAGGAATAACTGGAGGTGACCAATCTTATTACTTCAGTGATTTTCTGTTATACAGAATTTTAGGTGCACATGCTCTGGAATAGTGATAAAGGTAGGAGTAATCTTAAGGAACTGCTACTGTTTTCTTGGCACACCTATGGAAAAAAATACATGAGCATAAATGTGGCAGCAATTTTCTGATATGCTAAATGGCTGTTTTTATCCAGATTTCTTGTTAGATATCAGGCTATCTGGAAGTGAGGTAACATCTTTAAAATAATCATAATAGCTTAACATCTGAGCTATTTACTATGTGACAAGTACTGTGTTACATATCAATGCATTTAATCCTCACACGATCCCATAAAATAGGTATGATTTCATTCCATTTACTGACGATGACCAAAGAGGATTAAGGAACTTGCTTAAGATCACATAGCTAGTAAGTTTTCCCTGAAACATGTTAGACTTTCCACATTAAATCTTGTACTTTAATGCTTATTGATTTATTATTATTAAATTATTATTATAAACTCACACAAAATCACATTCAAATACGTATCTAAACACTTGGTTTTCACTCTATGTATATTTATGTGCATCTTCCCTGAGATATTTTCAGTGATAAAGCTTAAAATCAGGTAGCAAACCCATCTACCTTCTGTTTCACTTTAGGATATGAGGCAGAAAGCCATAGGAAGAAATCTTTAATGCCTCTCATCCCAACAGAGGTGAGCATTGAACAGTTGCAAATCGGAATTTCTGTTCATGGTACAGGTTACAATGGGCAGCTAATAATGATATAAACAGCAATAATAGTGAATGCTTGCTAGGCATTAGACATAATACTTAAAATATCCCTCTTACAGATGAGGAAACTGAGGCTCAGAGAGGTGATGTGATTTACTCAGTCACATAGCTAGTTAGTAGCAAAGTCAAGTCTATCCTACTATGCTCTTTCTGTCATACCTCACTGTCTCTTATCTGAGCTGCAACTCCACTGTCTTATATATGCAGCACCCCACCTGTGATGCCCTGATGAAAGGGAGGCAGTGATTTTCGCCGGTTCATTTCTTTCATACTTGCTCGCCGCCAGGATTGCCTCCTGTCTTGATGATGGGCAGACTGTTCTTGGGGGGACAAATGAAGGGATGTGGACTGAAGTCCTTCCTGGTGGCTGAGATCACAACTGCCCTCTTTTTTAAGGCTAGAGTCAAGATGAATTCTTTCCTTTGAAACACTTTGAGTCATCTCCAGAGAGGCAGATGATTTATTACACACTTCCACAGGGCTGGGATCTGATTCCAGTTGATGGTCATGAGTCTTAGACGTCACTTGTTCCTCCTCCATCGCTTGTTATAAAAAGGTCAAAATACAAAATCAAACCCATCACAACTAAGTATCTGGGCAAAAAGATGGAGAAAAAGATGTGTGCCCCAGATCATGGAAATACTGAGAAAGCAAATATGTGAATATGTGATTCCAAGTCCACCAGAAGCCACGAAAGCATTTAGGTATAGCTGAGAAACCTGCACCCAAGGCAAGAGGTACTGAATTTCACTACAATACTCACCTTCTACAGAGTCTGATCTAGTCACTGAAGTCATCCTGGGTGGTAAACCCTGAAAACAGAAAACTGAGGTGATCTGTTCTCCACATTTAAGCCCGTCTCACTAGGGCTTTACTACCTTAGAATAGGCCTTGTGCTTTTCAGCCTCTCTAAAGTGCCCATCTCTGCCCCATGAAATTTAGCTCCCTGACAAGGCCCAGCACAATGCCACCTCACCCACCACCTCCACAGACTATCAGCAGGGCTCATTACCTCCTGCTCTGAATTTCTAGAGAACTTACCACTAGGAATGCTCATCTCTTCCTTAACACATATCTTATCTTATTTCTCAATTATTTTGAGTTGAATTTGTCTCTAATTCCCTAATTCAGCTAATGGCATTAAGATCTACATCATCTTCCAAACTAGAAAAATCACATCAACCTTTACTTTTTATTATTAACTCTCCAGATCCAAAATCCTGTCCATTCTACCCCCAACAGTCTCTCTAAATCTTTCTTTAAATTTATTGAAATAACATTGGTGAATATTATATAAATTTCAGGTGTACAACTTTATAATACATCTGTATACTCCATTGCGTGCTTGCCATCCGAAGCCTAGTCTCCTTCTGTAACCATATACTTGAATCTCATTACACTCTTTGTTCTTCCCTAGTCCCCTCATCTGGTATCCACCATTCTGTTATCTGTATCTATGAGTCTGTCTCTAAATCTTTTCTCCATTTCCAGTTCTTAGTTTAGTTCATTTCATAATTTCCACCACCTCCCTCCCCTTTCCCCAAATAATCTAACAGCCTCTCCACTAGTTTTCCTACATCCAGCACTGTTCTTCTCCTACTCATTCTTTGGACAGCAGTAAAGATTTTTGCAGTGTATTCAACACTTTTCATAAGCTAGTTCCAATCTAGCCATTCTTGCTCTCTCCTGCCACTCCTGTTTCCTGCACCACTTTTGAATCTTTGAACATGGCCTGTAAAACGTGTTCATCCTTCCCAACCTAGCCCAGATGTGTAGGTTTCACACCACTTCTCTTTAGCAGAGCCGGTTGCTCCACCCCTTGGTCTCTCTACCACTGGCTGTAAAGTCTGTTTATGTTTGTCTCCCCAGAAAGAAGGCAGGGACCTGACTGAGGCATCTCTACACCTACCATGCTTACCCCTAAATTCCAGCAGAAATCTGCAGGGGGCGTGGCTTAAAAAGAAATGAATATAGGTGGAGGGACAACATGGAAAAGATAACAGAACAAGAACCAGGTAGGTCAAGGATCTAAATGCTCAGTTACGACTGTAATCACAGACTCAAGCCTAGATAAAAACAGCAATAATCGTCATTTGTTAAGCTGCTTGTTAGGTGCTTATTATATGTCAAGACCTGTGTTATATGTAAGTGCTTTATCTGCATCATTATTTTATCCCATTAATCCTTTCCACAGCTTCTGTACAAAGTACTATTATTCACCTCTTCTTGCAGATAGGGGAACTGAGGTTCAGAGGGCAAAAGGCTGGTTCAAGCTTGTTACACTGCTAGTCTAGGGCAAAGGAGAAATTCGAACACAGGCCTGTGACCCACCCCAACCCTTTAACCACTGTTCAGGAGTCTAGACCGCTGGCTCTGCAAAAAGGACGAGTGAGAGAGGCGCCGCCCGCCTTCAGATTTCCCAGAGGAGGCCGCAGCGCCCCAGGGGACCCGCAGTGCCCGCTGTCACACGGCGGCGACGGGACTGGGTGGGCAGAGATCCGATGCCAAAAAGGCCGTTGCGAGGGTGAGTGGGGCGTAGTCTGGGGAAAGGTATGCGACTTCCTGACCTCAGAGCGACGCCCGTCCAGCCTGGAGCCTCCGTTCTTGAACTACAAGGCCGTCGGTCACTCTCCGTGGCCACCGCTGGGTCACCCCGGGACCCCCTGCGCCACTGCGACTCTCTACTCCACCAGGTGCTCCGTCCACAGACCACGCCCCGCGCCCCCACCGCCGCTTCCGAAACTCCCGCCAACTAAGGGCGCATGCGCGGCCGGCGGCCTCCCGGGCACGCGCACGCGCACCCAGAACGCCTGCCTGCTTCAAAGGCGCATGCGTAAACTGGTTTTCAGCTCTTTTACCAGCCCGGCCTCCGGGTCCAAATTCTTCCACGCCTAGGAGTAGCCACGCTACCACCTCCTCAGCTATGCGGTGTCAGGGCAGTCCATGCCACACCATCATGATGTTTGACGTCCCATGAGTCTAGAACCCATTTAAGATGGGAAACGGGCTCAGAGAGGTACTTGCCAAAGGAATACAGTGCATCAGCGAGCATCTGAAGCTCTGCTCCTGTCGCTAGGCCATGTTTCCTTTTCCCTTATTCTTAACACCAAAAATGTGGACCATGACTCTCTCAGGGCGGACTGGAGCTATGCGCTCAGTTTGCTTTATACAACTCTACTCCTGCTCTAGCACTTTTTTTCTTTTGTGGCCCTTTCAACACGTGGCAAAGTTCAAGAACCCTCCTTTGCAGCCCCATTGCAGGCCGCCCTCTCCCCAAACTGCTTGCGTTGCTTCTCTGCCCCCCCCGCCCCCCGCCAGCTTCTTGCCTCTGCTCCTTGGATAGCCAATTCTCTCTACCTGGGAATCCCTTCCCTGCTTTTTCCTGGCAAAATTCTCTAATTTTAAGCATCACCTGAGGATTCATTTCAGCCTTTTCTGAGGTCTCAGGCTGCAAACCAGATGCCCCTTCTGTATTCCCAAGAGCCCAACCTGTGTCTTTTCCACCATCCCTTGTTGGCCCCAGAGAGCAGACTGCTTCCTCAGCACCTAGTATGATGCCATGAAAATGTCCCCTTGCATGTACAGTTCTTTCTTTCATATCTGAAACCTCTCAATGTTAAATTATGAGCAGTCCACAAAATCTTAAAGAGAGGTTAGGGAGTGGCAGCTGGAACATAACTGTGGTTATTCTTCCACAGCAGCTGCGGTCCTTCGAAAATTTTTCTGAGAGGCCAAAATCTGCCTTCCTGAAATTTCCACCCTGTGGTTCTAGCCTGCTGGCTTCAATAGCCATCTGAAAGCAGATTTGCTTTGGGTTCCCTGAATATAAGTTTCTGGGATTCAGTGGTACCCAGTTCCTTCTGTGTCCATCCCCCTCCTTTGACCCCCCATTCGTCATTGTCTCAAGAACAGAACAGTGTTCTCAGCCAGGGTGGGCCACCCTAGAGCACAAGCAAAAATATAGCCTCATGGAACCCCAATACTTCCTCTATCTCCTTCCCCTGCCTTCAATTCTTCGATGGTTCCATACTGTCCACAGAATATGCACATTTGTCCCCTCACAAGGCACTGTGTGATCTGACCCAGCCTCTTCATTGTTCCCCGCTCCAGTGACATCAAATTTCTTACAGTTTTCCAGTTCTGCTCTGCTGTCTTTCAACTAGGCTATCACACATACTGTTTCCTCTGGAACTATCTCACCTTAGGCTCTTGCCTACAGCACACCACCATCCCCTTCGTGTGGTCAACATCTCAACCTTAGGTGCCAGTTCAAATGCCCCTTCCTCTGTGAAGCTTTTCCTGATTTCTCTTGGCTCCCTGAGCACCTGAGCACCCTGGGCTCCCCCCGCCCCCATCCCCCCTCCCCAGCCATTGACATTTGCTTCTCTGTCTTCCAGGCCCATCTATAGTATCTTCAATGCCTAGCACACGCCTGGCTGTTGGTCCTTAAAAAAAAGAGATCTATATTTTTATGAGGTAGCCGGCTTCCAGGATGGCCCCCCCAAGGATCCCTGCTTCCTGGTGTTCATGCCCACAGTAGTCCTCTTCCACAGTGCGTAGGATTGATCGGTATAACCAATAAGATACTGCAGAAATGACAGTGTGTGATTTTCAATGTTTAGTCATAGAAGACATTGTGACTTCTACCCTGCTCTCCCATAGATCACTTGCTCTGGAGGAAGCTAGTGCCATGTTATGAGGATACTCAAGCAGCCCCATGGAGAGGTCCAAGTGCGACAGAACTGAGGCGTCCTGCCAACAGCAAACACTGACTTGCCAGGCATATGAGCCACCTAACAAATGGATCTTCCAGCCCCAGTCGAGCCTTCACATGATTGCAGCCTGACTGATACCTTACTGCAACCTCAGGAAACCCTGAGTCAGAACTATCCTACTCCTGATTCCTAACCCACAACATCTGTGATATAATGTTTTGAAATTAATTATACCGTAATAGATAATTTAACCCATGTCTAAAGTGTCCTTTATTTCATGATAAACTTTAAACAGTCTTTTGTAGAAAAGGTTCATTTCCATTTTTGAGCACTCTGCATTTGTTTCTCAGTGGTCATATCACATTCAGTGGGAGACTCTGAGATGTGAGCAGCAGGGAACACCCGGTGGTCCCTCCCAAGTACCCCTGAACCAGTTAGCAGGTTGTGGCATTTGTAGATTTCCCTCCTTTCCAGGGAACTGGAGGTGGGCTAGTGTCAGGTTTCAAATCCGCTTGAGCTTTACCCACCCCACTAAAGAAATCAGAGGAGGCCAAGTCCATGGATACTGTTCATATGACATACTTTATTTCCTCTACAACCATTAAAAACCCTTTGTAAGTTTACACTGTACAGTTATTCTCATGTCTGAAATAAGACGTGGGGGCAGGGAAAGCTGGTGGATCGGACCACAGTCGTCCTAGCACCTAATCCATCCTAGGAAGGAGCGTTTTGAAGACAGAAGTGGGGAGGAGAGAACAGTGGACAGGAGAGGCGAACAGTTTGGCCCAAGGATGCCCTTGGTCCCTTCCCTCCTGAAGGTCTTTCCCTGGGTGTCTCCTAGGGTCCATGACTGCAGGACCCACACCAGGAAACTAGGCTGGGCAGGAAAGGGGCTTCACAGTATAGGCAGGGGTTAGGGGGCAGGATGAGAAGAAAGGACAGCTTCTGGCTCCCTTCCCCAGTTGCTGGGGGTTGGAGCCAGGTTTTTTTTGGCACTATCTACAGGGTCTTCCTGGAGGTGGGAGGAGGAAAAGAAGGAGTTGGGGATTTATGATTCTTTTCTTGAAGAGTTAGGTTTCTTTCCATGTGAAGAGAGGCCATGAGCCTATGGTAAGGTTCTCAAGGGATAAATGGTCAGGGTCTTTTGTCTCCTGCCCCCAGGACACCCACCCTCTGCTTGGCTGGCACAATCCTACACAACCTTTTTTTTTCCCCCTACACACCTTTTTATAAAACCCAGACAGGTGGGAGAGGTGAACAGAGCTAGAACGAAGCCAAGGGCAAAGAAAGGAAAAACATATGCCGTCTTCCAGTCCTCCAGCTTCCAGAAAGAGAAGAGAGTTTTGATTGTTTTGTTTTGTAGGGCAGGTGGGAAGAGTTCCTAGTCTCTCAGGAGTCCAGCAGTTGGTGTTTCTCATGAGTTCCTGGTCCAGGCCAGCCTCAGTCCCTCACCAGGCTGCACTAATTGCTACATAAGTCAGCAGATGGCAAACTCCTGTTATATCAGAATCACTCAGAGGGGCTTGTTAAACCCCAGCTTGCTGGGCCCCATCCCAGAAGTTTGAATTTCATAGGTCTGGGGTAGCACCAATACTTTGCATTCCTATGAAGTTCCTAGGGGATGCTCTAGCTGATTTCAGGCACCTCATCCTCAGAAACCTGGTGCCCTGAGGCAGTTCTAGGAAGCTGGGCCATAGCTGGAAAGGCCTAGCCTTAGAGGCACCAAGTAACCTGGGAAGCTGCTAGAAATGGTCTTATGGTGAGCCCCCTGTGCAGAGAAGTAAACTAAGGCACAGAGATCAAAGGCAGAACTGAGAAAGGAGCCAGGATACCAAGGTCCAGTGGAGAGGGGACAGTGATGCAGGACCCCAAAACACGAGCAATGCCTTGGGGCCCTAGGGATCATCCTGGTGCTCATTATAAAATCACACACCCAGCTTAGCCCAGAGAAGTTAAGCGGTCTTCCCAGACCTGGGCCAGGTCTCGACTCCTGGCTGAGGTTCCTCTTTACGGAAGCAGTTTGAGTGGTGTCAGAATGTAGTGTGACAAGGCAGCCAGGCCCGACTACCTTGGCCCTTCAAGTAAGCATAGAGAAAACCAAAGCTCCTTTCCTTTGGGCATGGGGTCCAGAGGGCTGGTGAAGGGCAGGAAGAAAGGGGAGCAGGGATGATGGGATAGAGAAGGGAAGGTCCAAAGAGGGTGAGGGAGGAGTGGGGAGACGCCCTGGGCAGGGGACTCAGGCCCAGCACCATGTCCCCTTTGTTTCTTGAACTTTGCAAACTGCAAATGATTTTGGCAGGGGTAAGGGGCAAAACCAGGGTCAGCTACAGGTTCTGCCAGGACGACTCGTTTTAGAGCTAGTGAGGCCCAAGGAAGAGCAGAGAGGATGGTGGGATGTCAAATGGACAGATGACCAGGGAGAGAATCCAAGCCAGGCTGCATCTCCTCAACCAAGCCATGCAGGACTAGGCAGGGTAGAGACCAGAAGTGGAGATCCAAGGGCCCCCCACTACACACACACCACACTCTTAGTGGAATGTGCTGGGGTCCTTCTGGGAGGCTATAGACAGAGAAGACAATGTGACTCAGGATGAGATTGGGGGATGCCTTTCTTGGCTGGGGGGTTGCTGGGGCCTAGCCCAGTGAGAAGGGCTGGCAGGGCTGGAGCCACCTGAGGTGTTAGGAAAAGGTGTCCCCTTTGGTGTGAGAAAACATGAAATAAAACATGAACTCAGAAAAAAAAACAACCCAGATCTGAAAGTAAACCTCAGAGTTGGGAGACCACAGCTGAGGGCACTTCTCAGGAGTGTGAACCTGAAGGGGCAGCGAGGTGGATGCCTAGGTTAAGAGGAAATCCATGGGAGGAGAGGCTGTTCTGTGAGGGCTGAGAGGTGGGGGCTACAAGTAAGCCCAGGGCCCAAAAGAGGAAAATGTGGCCATTGGCCAGGGCCACTCGGTCTGCTGGCAGGAACCAGCAGAGAAGATGAGGCAGGAGGAGGCAAAGTTTTGGAGGAAGATGATAAAAGAGAGGATGGGTGAGAGGTGGTAAGTGAGCAGACAGCCCAGAGAGAGGAAGAGGCTCGACCAAGATCGCAGGATGGCAGTGCAGTATCTCATCCCCCATTGGGGATGCAGAACCTACTGAGAATCAGGAAACCTGGGTTCTGGTCCTGGCTCTGCTTTTAGTTTGCTGTGTGACCTTGGGTGAGCCACTCCCTTCTCTGGGCCTGATTCCTCATTTAAGAACGTGAAGGAGTTTGACACAAAAGGACAAAGAACACACGATTCCATTCATATGAGGTACCTAGAACAGGCAAAGTCAAAAACAGAAAGTAGAATAGGTTACCAGGGTCTGGGGGCAGGGGAATGGGGAGTGTTTAGTGGGTAATTTCAGTTTAGGATGATGAAAAAGTTCTGGAAATTCATGGTTGTACAATACTGTGAATGTACTTAAAATGGCTAAAATAGGAAGTCTATGTTATGTATATTTTGCCACAAAAAAAGTGAGGGGGTTGGTCCAGATGATTTTGCAGCCCCTTTCAATGAAGAGGGTGAGAAGGGTGTCACCGCCCACCCCCCCAGGCTAGGTCACAATGAGTGACCTAGGGGTCTGGCCTGGGGTCTGGCCTGGGGACAATGAGTGTGTTCAGACCACTTTTCATTTGTGTAGAACTTTGTTTTTCCAAGTAGACTTGTAGGCACAATATTGTATTTGGTCCTCACCACAGCCATGTGAGGTAGAAGGAGATTCTCCCCACTTTATAACTGGGGACACTGAGGCATAGAGTAGCCAAATGATCTGAGGCCAAGGTCATTCCAGTTGGTAGCAGTTTGTTATTTTTTTTTTAAAGTCATCTGGAAAACGTCCTTGCAACTTAGGTTTACCTGTTGAAATACCAGCTGGCTTAGTGGTCTTTGAAGAAAGGAAATGGGCTATAAATTAGTAGCAGAATTGTCTCCTGGGGCAAATATGCTTGCTTCCCATGACTGGTTGATAAGAGTTATGAAACCTGATGTGTTTCTCTTTTTACCATGGATGCCAGGAAACTCAAGAATGAATTTTAATTGAATGATTCTGGGAATTACATTAGATAGATTGAGGGGATGATAATTCTTGCTTTTGATTTTCTATTTATGTTGTATTATTAAACTAAAATTTAAAAATATTCTATTTCTGTGGTATTATGCCTCTGATTATAAATTGCCTCTGATGTTTTTTGGAAATTCTCAAGGTAATTAAACCAAATCAGAGCTGGGTTGAGGACTGAGTCCCCTAATTCTAAGCACAGTAGTCTTTTTAAGATATAGCATCATGGTTATTGGTTAAAAGAAAGATGGTCTAATTGGTCAGGGCTATGAACACAAATATGTAGGTTCCTGGCCCAGAAAGTGTGGGTGGGGCCCAGGAAACTGCATTTTGAACGTGCCCTCAGAGGATTCTGATGCAAGGGGTCCCCATGCCATTTTCTGGGACACACAGGTCCAGTGATTCAGGGTGGGCTACTTTCATGTCTGGGTTGGGCGGTGGCATGTTCTGGGTGTCCTATATCCACACAAAGCCCGCAGTGGGGCAATGCGTTAGCACAGCAAGCAGGACAGAGTTTAGGCTGGGGGATCTAGAAGACCCAGGTTCTAGTCTAGACTTGATGACTTCTCAGTTCGGTGACTCTGGGCTGAGACCCGCACCTCCGTTTCCTCATCTGCAAAATGGGAGCACTAACCCCTTCCTGCCAAGGCTGCCTCCCAGAGTCGTCCCTGAGAGGCTGGAAAAAGACATGGGATGAGGGAGCAATTTCTACATAGTAAAGTGCTCTGGGCACAATGTGCAAGGGACCATTATTATTATTAATGAAGAGGTCAGTTTTGGGGGCTGATGAGGCTGGAAGTGGGGCACATTCTGGGTGGGAGGAGAGAGGGAAGAAGAGCCTGGAAGGTGGGTGGGCAAGAGGAGAACGTGCTAGGTGATGAAACTGACATGTACATGGGGCGGGTATGATGGAGCCATGTGGCAGCCAGGGTGTAAGAGAGTCAAGTTCTGGAGCCCTCGACTGTGTCACTTGGGAGAGCAGCTGGTAAAGGAGTGTCTCTGGGGAGGCCAAGGGGTAAGGCCCATTCTAAGTTCTTAGAAAGCAAGATCTCTTAAAGGTATTTTGAAACTGGTCAGCCTTTGGTGTGGAAAGAATTGCGGGGAAAGGGCTGCTGGGGAGACAGGGAATTGGATTCTGGTGCTTTGTGCATACAGGGTCTGTATTCCTTTCAAATACAGACGTCATGGCCCCCAGGAGGGTCTAATTTGGTTCTGGAAAAAAGTCGGATATAAGAAACATGAGGTTGCCCAGTTTAGGGTCAACCGTGCCAACTGGTCTTCCATTCCTCCCCTCACCAAGTCGTGCCTACACCATGGACCCAAGCCTAGAGATCTATAGTGGATTAGACACCAAGGTTTCTTGAGACTTTGGTTGAAGAGAGTAAAGATGGGGAAAAAAGAGGAAGAAGGATAGGGGAGGAGGAAGAAGAGAAGGAGGAACGTGCCAGGAGTAAAAATGGCAGAGGGGTAGTAGAAAGGGGAAGGAGGTAAGAAGGGCAGTGTTCCTTCCTGGGTCCCCAATGTTCCAAGGGGAATTCCTACTGTGAGTCAGGCAGTTTTCTGCTTTGGGAATGTTACCAAGACTTAAAAGGCATCTGCAGAAACAAACATAGAAATTACATTCCAAAAGAGTAGAGAGTTTTTACAAACCAATCCCCCCACCCCCAAAAAGAAAACACCAGTTACTTATTAAAATGCTAAAAATCAAACCAAACCAATATTTACACATAACATTTTCAACCCCATCAAGCCCCATGTCCAGAGGCTTCTGTAGGAAGAGTGATGAGTGACCTTGCACAGTGGCATGCAGGAAGTAGAAACTGGACTTTATAGGAAACCAAGATCTGGAGCCTCTGACACTGGCTGGGAGCTGGGCGGCCAGATGCTGAGACATGAGGGATGGCAAAGTCAATCTTGGACGAGGATGATGGTAAGGCTGAGCGGGTCCATAGGCCACAGGGTTCAGGTCTCACGAGGATTTCTCCCTCAAGGCTGGGAGTGTGGACTCCTTGGCCCTCTGTAGCTCGGGGAGGTAGCAGAAGGCCTCTGGTGGCTTGTGGCCTGTTGTGAATCCCCTCCCCGGGAGATAACCTTGGAGGGGCCCCCTGACCTCTCAGGTGGGAGCATGGCATCCCAGAGGGGCTTGGCCCACGGCTCCACTGGCCTGTCTGCTCTGCCCACACAAGTCAATATGGCACGAGGAAGTGGCTGGACAGATATGACTCTGGTGTTCTGCCACTAGGGAATGGAGATGAAGGACTTTGGGTAACTGGTCCAGGTGACCCTAAAAGGGCAGAAGGAGCAGGTGAGAGTGCAGAGGCACCTCCAGAGTCCTGGGGGCAAACTAGAAAAGCCATTGGCTTTCATTCTTCCTGATGGGGAATTCCACAGATGAACCATTTTGTCCTGGCATTTCCACTCTGGGCCCCTAGCCAGTTACAGGAGGGCCACATATCTGCATATGTGTGGGCATGTGTACAAACAAAATGGGTTCATTGGTGCCAATACCGCAATGAGCCCTGCTGCAATCCATCTGATGGCTTGAGTAGCTTGGGATGTGGGGAAGAGTGGACAGTGGAGTTAGGGCTGAGAGAAGAGCCATGAGAGGCCATAAGGCTAAGGAGAGTGGCTGGTGAAAAAGGCTGGCAGACTGGTGAGAACTGAGGCAGGATGGCAGATACTCTCAGATCCATGTGCAAAGCTGCAATAACAACATTCTCAAGGTTCAGTCCTGTTTTCCTGCAAATTCTCACTTGGGGAACTTGGAGAGATCTCTGTGCTCTTGGTAGAGCCTTAGTAATTCATATTTGACTCATAAAAAAGGTGTGAGAGGGAGGAAGGAAAATGAGAAGGGAAATGAAGAATGTTTGGGAAGCAGTGACATTGGTCCAACCTTCTAGCCTGTCATTGAGCATTTACAGACTGACTGCTGAGCGCTGGGCAAGTACCAGGTGTTGAGTGAAAAGCAGCGCTCTGAGGCCAATGGTCAGTGGTGTTGGGAGAGCAAGCTGCAGGGCTCCAGCTCTGCCAGGGGGGCTCCAAAGCTGACCAGGAGACCATAGCTCGGCTGCTGAGCTGCCTCGTCCACATGCGGGACCCCATGCCTGTCCATCGTGTTAAAAGCCTTGCATTGTCCCAGTGGCAAGAATACATGTCTCAACCTCCAATAAATTACCTTAGGGACTTTGGGGTAAATTAAATTATTAAAATAAAGTAAAACCACCTTAAATATTTATAGTAAGAAAAATTCAAATAAACAACATAGGCAAGAAACGTGTTTCCAGGTCCCAGTCTACCGCTGTGTCCTGGAGCACCAGCCTCCTGGAGTGCCCCTTGGCTTGGCCTGGCCTGGGAGTCTCTTACTGGGACTATCCTCGCCCTCCACCAGCTACAGGATGTAAACACAGTGGAGAGGTGGCGCCCCTCCAGGGTGCCACGGAAAGAGGCCTCAGAGATCAAGGCAGTGGGCATTTAGGCATTTATCTGTGCACCAGGTCTTGAGAGAGATTACCTACTTCTGTCCTCAAGGACTCTCCTGGGAAGGTTGTCACCTCGGCAAGGGAGGCAGTTCCAGTGGCTCCCCAACCCTGAGCCCCACGCATTTGTCTTCTTGTCCTTGCTGGATTCAGGTCTGGGGAGGGAGATCCAGGGCTCCAGGATTCCAAGCAGATACTTGGCCCTGGCCACTGCCCTATCATACCCCCTGGAGTCACAGCAATCCAGAGCAGCAGGGCTGGGAGGAGGAGGCGGTAGAAGGAAGGAAGGGATAGGGATCATGCCCAGCCCAGCTCCACCAGGAACCCCAGGCTGAGCCCGAGGGCAAAGCCTGTTCTTCTTATTGATGTTTCCCCCACCAAGAAAGGGGTGTGATTGGCAACTAGCATCTCCATGAGCCCTTTCCCTGCGGGCTGTGGCCAGAAGTGTATCCTTTCCTGGGCTCTTCTGAGAAGTGGGTGTGGGTAAAACCAGGCAAGGCTCTCCTTTAGGACCCAGGGATAAGCTCCCAGTGGATCTCTCTGGAGGAGCTTGCTTCCGAAGCCCAGTTTTGGTCTTTCTCTCACTCACTGCCTTCTCCTGGGTAGTCAGAGATCGCCACCCAGTGGTCAGTAGGAGATCCCCGCTTTACCTGGATGGGAAAGCTGTTCTCTAGCAGTGGTGCAGCTGCTGTCCCCCAGGACGAGGTGATGCAGAGGGCATGGCCCTCCTCTCTGCTGGTTCCCTTCGCTGGTTCCCTTTCGCTATCCATTTGACTGGGCTGGTTGAGGCGGGGAGCTCCGTTGCTCTGTCACTCGCTGGGAGGGGCTGCCCTCTCCTCCCCACCCCAGCTGGACTCTGAAGGGTGCAGTCTGCACTTGGAAGGAGAGTGGCGGATGGCAGAGCGGGATGACCGGGCGAAGCAAGAGGTGAGAGACTGGGTGCTACAGTCACAAACAGCATCCTAGGAGGAAGGAGGGAGGGAGGAAGTCAGGAGGAGCCAGGAGACACTGACTACCCAGGGGTTAGATGACCAGCCAGGCAAGGAGTCTGGGCTCAGCCATACTCAGGATCCAGTTCCCAGGGGCTACAGCCCCTCTTCTGACCAATTTTTTAAAATTGTTTTTCTTCCATTATAGCAATAACAAATGTTCATAAATAACACTCCAGAATGTCACAAATTCTGGAACATACAAAGAAGAAAGTGGATGTTGTCTGTGGTCAGTCCTACACATCAAAGATAAATTCTCACCACACTGCATGCACGTACAATTTACCAAAATGACCTCATCCCTTATAGCCTATGCTGCAATTGCAAAACACGAACACTTTTTGGTCACCATGCATGTTTAGAACTCCTTTTTAATAGCTGTCTACTATTCCCCTGAGTAGAAATGCCTTGATTTATCCAATTCATTTTTTATGTGCATTTATGTAGTTTCTATTTTTTTTATTATTACCAATACACAGGGACAATGGTTGAAAGTGCTGTTACAGAACTAGAATACTTGGTTCAAATCTGAGTCCTGCCACTTACCAGTTGTGTGACCTTGGATAAGTTACTTAAATCTCTGAGCCTTGATTTCCTCCTCTCTAAGATGAGGAACATGATACCTTTCTTAAAGTTGTTCTGAGGGTTAAATCAGATATTATATATAAAGCATTCAGCATAGTGCCTATTAAGTACTTAATAAATGCTAGCAATTTTTATTAATAATGCAATATATTTCTTTATACAAATATGTTTTATCTCCTCTGTATTTCCATAGGCTACATTCCTAGGAGAACTACTGGTCAATGAGTAGTAACACGTGAATTTTATAGACTGAAAAATATTTGAATCAACATTCAAAATACAGCCAGCTTTGTACCTTTGTTACCTGATGTAGGTGTGGTATATGGATGTGATGGTTAATTTTATGTGTCAGCTTGACTGGGCCTCAGGGTGCCCAGATATTTGGTCAAACACTATCCTGAGTGCTTCTGTGAGGATGCTTTTGGATGAGATTAATATTTAAATCTGTAGACTGAATGAAACAGATTGCCTTCCTAATGTAGGTGGGCCTCATCCAATCAGCTGAAGGCCTGAGTAGAACAAAAAGTCTGACTCTACCTGAGTAAGAAACAATTCTTGCTGTTTGATGGCCTTCGAGCTGGGACATCAGCTTTTTTCCTGCCTTTAGACTCCAAGTGAAATATCAGCTCTTCCTGGGTCTCAAGCTTGCCTGCCTTCAGACTAGAACTACATCAGCTATGTGTACTGTACACCATCAGCTCTCCTGGTTCTCAGACTTTTGGACTCAGATTGGAACTAAATTATCAGCTCCCCTGGTCTCTGGTCTGCTAACTCACCCTGCAGATCTTAGGACTTGTCAGCCTCCATAACCAAATAAGCCGATCCCTTATATTATTGGCGTAAACCAATCACACACACACACACGGCCTACTGGTTCTGTTCCTCTGGAGAAACTCTAATATAATGGGTATGTTCAGTCTGTGAGAAATTTGTGAGCCATATTCTTATGATATGCTCAGTATATATATTAAATTTAAAAGTTCTTAAAAAGTTAAAAAATAGAAATAAGTATTTAAAGGATTTTTAAAAATGAAACCAGCTGGGTGAAAGTATAGAGAAGTAAAGCACTCAGCACACAACACTGGGGTCTGTAGAAATTGGACAAGCTTTTTTGCAAGACAAGTTGGCAACATTTATCAAATACCTTTAAAAATTTATATTTTTTAATCCTGTAATCCTATTTCTGCAACTCAAACCTAAGGAAATAATCCGAAATGTGGAAAATGAACACCAAGATGTTCACCACAGAATTATTTATAATAGGGAAAAATTAGAAACTACCTAAACATACAATACATACCACTGGGCCAATCACAGCCCACTCCACTCCTCTGTGCTCCTACCTGCAACCCTCGCGGAGTGCACTGCACACCATACGATACCACCCCTGGCCACAGCTGACTGAACAGGGGGTACACTGGATTTGAATTGGATGAGTTTCTTTCTTCCAAAAATATGGAATTGAGACAGAGGGATCTGAGTCAGTCTCCCTTAGGTGCTTGATATTATAAAACCAGAGCTGGGACAGCCCTCCTGAGCATATATAAATGCAACAGAGATAAAGAGAAGGAAGAAAACAGAGGGAAAAAAGCTCAGGAGAGAGGAGAGGGAGACAGAGAGAAGCTGCTGAGGCCTTTGGGTCCTGGCCCTCAGGTTCTGTAAGCTACTCTGCCATTTCCCTTTCTGGGAAGCTAACTTATATGTATTCTTTTACTAATATGCAAATAATCCCTAACGAAATCTGAAATTGATATCAGGAGTGGGGTGTGCAGTGAAAGAGTCTGAGAGAAAATGGGAGCATTTAGGCATGGAGTCTAGGGGTGGGGGGCAGCGGTATACTGGTCAATATTTAATAACTAGTTTTCTGGAGCAAGAGGAGAGGCCCTGACTTGTGTCATTTGCCAGTTTTCATGATGTAAATCCTCCCACTGTGCAGATCTCAAAGCACCAAGGTGATGTCACTCAACACAGAGATGTGCACAGTTGGCTTTCTCGACTCACACAAGCTGGCTCCAGCACTGGTTGTGGGAGTGGAGTCAGCACACCCCTTCCCTGTGGGGGATGCTGGCAATTTCTGGTATGTGGTGGCAAAGCAGCTAGTTAAACCATGCTCACTGGTCTCTTGGTATTCAGACCATGTGTCCTTCCAGGTCTGGAGCCTTCCAACCCCCACCTCAAACTAGCATAAGAACTTTTTGAAACACGTGAACTACCTTCCCTGAGTTGGAAAACCAAAAGAGCTCGGACCTTATAAGCCAACCTACCTCCCAAGAAAAAGGGCAGTCCCACCCGCTTACCTCATTGGGAAGGACCAGGGCTCCGTCTCCGTCTCGGAGGACACCATCCTTCCCCACCTGGGGGAGCACGCAGGGTCTGGCCTCTTCCCCGCTCCCTGACTTGGCTGTCTTCTTGTTGAGGATCCTGGCCATGCCCTCTGGCTGATGGTAGCTGGCCGGGGAGAGGGGCTCGGGCTTCTTGGTGCTCTCCTCGCCAGCCGCTGAGGTGGGACTCGGGGCCCGGCCACACACATTGCGGAAGAACTCCTGCACGATGCCGTACTTGGGAGGCTCTGGCTTGGCCCGGGCCTCGGACATGCCCAGTTTCCAGACAGACTCCGTGCTCCCCGAGTGCTCCACCACACTGAAGAGGCTGGAGAGCCCGTCGTTGATGTTCCTCAGTACGGGGCTGTCCCGTGTGGTGGTGGAGCGGGCCCAGGCCGAGCCGTTCTGCTTACCCTGGTGCAGGTTCCACAGGCTGCGGTCCTTGGCGCCGTCCAGCTTGGACACGGACCGCCTCTGGAGCTTTGGCGAGCCGTACTTGGGCGAGCAGCACGGACGCTCGATGCGCGAGTGCACCTTGTCCAGAGAGGAGGAGATCTGCTTGCTGCGCACGGACACGAGCGAGGAACTGCGGGGTGACCAGCTCTTGCTGTGGAGGCTGCTGCGGGGCGGGTCAGTCTGCAGGCCCACGCTGACCGTCCGGATGGTCTGCGTGCCCACGCTGGCCAGGCCTACTGTCTGGCTGGACGTGCTCTTCACTTTCCTCTCCAGCGAGCCCGAGCGCATGGCCTGGCGCACACAGTTGGTGATCTCCTTCATGTCGTCGCTCATGTTGCCCGACATCTCCAAGTTGTGCAGGGCTGCTGGGAAGCCGGGGCCCGCTGCCGAGGGGCCACCCGCTGAGCCCCCGTCCAGGCGCTGCCGTGAGAAGTTGCAGAGCCACCGGCCGTAGGAGCTCTCCGCCAGCCCGTTGGCCTCCGCCGACTCTTTGGGCTTGGCGGTAGTGAAGAGGAAGCCGGGCTCGATGATGATCTTGCCTTCCCTATCATGGACCACGGGGACACCCAGGCGCCGGGCCACCGGGGGGCTGTAGTAGACGCGGATGCCCGTCTTGTCTGGAGCCGTGTAGCTCCGCTGCATCTGCCTCCCCGCCGGGTCCTGGCAGGCCAGGGCACCCAGGTCGTTGCAATCCCGTGGCTGTGCCTGGGCATCCTTCTCTGCGTCCACCGGCTGGGAGCCCACAAAGGCAAAGGCAGGGCTGTTGGGCAGCTTCTTGCCCCGGGCGGCTTCTCCAGCAAGGTAAGGGGAACAGTCAAGCAAACTTTCAAACTCAGACATAGAAGAAACAGATTTGGTCCTGGGAAGAGTGGAGGAGGAATAGTGGTGTTAGTGGAAGGTAACAGAGCAGGCACTCTGGTCTTCCTCCCTGGTCCTTGTGCTGCATGAAGGCTGTGACCATGCCTGCCCGGCTCACCTCTGGTGAAGTCTGTCAGTGCCCTGCCCCCATTCCCTCTACACTGACACCTATACACCCAACACCGCACGCTCAGAGCGCCTGCTGTTCTCCAGCTGAGGGCTCTTTTTCTGACTGTAGAAGCGCACTCAGGTTCCACACAGAGGAAGTTGGAAATATAACAGCATTTAGGCCCCTAGACACAGCCCTCAACAAATAACGGGTGGCATTTGGAAGCTGCTTGTTCCTCAGGTGAGACAACTCTGAGTTGCACGCTCTGCTCTGGCTCCCAGCAAAACTGAGCTTAGGTTGCCTGTGGAACGATAATATCTCCCTAACTTGCTGCCTTTCCCTTCCCTGTCTCACTTCCAGGTGTTTCCTCAGAATCTTTGAGACATTTCTCAAATCCTTGTCTTTGCTTTTGAGGGAACCCAAACTAAGACTCCACTAAATTTGTAGCATAGACCTGGCACACGGTTGCCTGATGATTGAAAATGCCAGACGTATGTAAATGCATCTCGCATGTCAGACCATTCAGTTCTCCACTAACTCTAGGAGGCAGTTTCTATTATCCCCACCAGACAGAGATGGGATATGAGGCCAAGAGCTAGAAACGACAGAACTAGAATTCAAACCCCACGCTTGACTCCACAGCCCACCCTTCTACCCTGGGCCTGTCTGGTTTCTGGCTGCTTCCATGGCTCCTACTGGGTTCTCCTGCCCTCACTCCTTTCACAGGTTTTCTGATTGTGGAGACATGGTCCTGAGAGGCCTGGGGGTCTCCCTGGCCATAGCATAGGGCTGGGCCCAGAGGGAGCTGCTCAATAATCCCAGAATAGGAGTCTAGCTTGACTCTCCTAAATCCAGAAACAAGAAGAAAGAATCCCAAGAGGAATTAAACAGTTTCCCAGCTAGGATCTGGCGGGGGCAGGAGGGCAATTTTCCATTCCCAGAATCAAACAAACAAAAAATCACAGGCAGGAATTCTCACTGCCCAAAACTTCCCAGCTCCTCAGTGGCTTGGGTTCTACAGCAACCATATTCCAGAGTTCTCCCAGCTCTGCTGAGGGAACATGGGCATGGGAGAGAAGACAGGCAAAGGGGTGGCACAGGCATAGGGTGGACGGAGCAGGGGGTGGGGTGCAGGGCAGAGCTGGGGAGGGGATGCCGGCACCTTTTTAAGCCTGTTCCCCCAAGCTCAGCTTCAGAAACAGCCTCCTTGTCATGGATCTTCTCACTGCGTGTCTGTCAAGGAAGAGATGAGAAGGGTCAGTTCTGGCCACCAGCCCCCTCAGGGAAGGTGATAGGAAGTCATTGTGGGAGCTGACCCCACACCCCATGCCTGAGTCTCCTTGTAGAGCAAGAGTGTTGTCAGCAATGATCTGGAATGACCACTGGTCAGTTTCTGGCTCCAGTGCGTCTAACCCCGTCATCCCTCCACCCATGGGTATGTGATCCAGGCTTGGCCAATGGGAGCACTAAGAGAGAACCCCAAGGAAACTGAGTCTGTTTAGAACTTAATCTGAATGTAGTGGCAGCACCCGCTGGCCACTGTTCAGTTGGCAGTAACAGTAGTGACCTGAAGGTTCCTGCTCTGACCTTCTCTCACCCTGGTCCCAGAGCAGGTCCTCTGGGACCTGCACTAGTTTCTGAACCTGCATCACCAGCCCTCTTGAGCTCCTAATAAAATCCTCTCCTGCCTCAGTTCCCAAGAATTGGTTTTATGGCTTGCAACAAAGTCTCCTAACACACCACTTCCTCAAGCTGTCATGAGGATTACATGGGATGATGCAAAGGGCCTGTCTGTTCACTCTTTGGTCACTCAGTGTGCAGCTATATGGATAATGCGCCCGATTCTTAGGAGCAAACTTTACCCATGTGACCTAAGAGATTGCCACGATCAGGGTTGGCTAAGGCAGAAAATGTGATTCTCATTTTACCAATGAAGCAGCTGGGGCCCAGAGGGGGAGAATGACTTGCCCAAGATCACATGGCTATTTAGAGGCCCTGCTCTTCAGAAAGGCACATCTGAAACTAAGAGAAGGCAAGTGGCCTGGCCAAGAATACACAGACACCCAGCCTTTCTTCCAGGTCTGGAAGGATGGAGCTGGCAGAGGATCCTTCACAAGTACCCAACCATAGGCTGGAACCATGAGGGTAGAGACCTCAGGTGCAAGGCATGACCTGTGGGACAGGGTTAGCATCTTCTTTGTCAGGTCTCCCACAAGTGAGGGACTTTCTGGTATAGCCCAGAGCCAAGAGAACAAGGGCGGCCTGCTATTCCACTCACCTCTTTCCAGCTGTTGTCCTGCTTTTCCAGGTCTGAGTGCTTCAGGACCCAGGGGTCAGCAGCCTTCTGCAGCTGGGTAAGGGTAAAGAGAGCAGTCAGTGGTGGGCAAAGTTGGTGAGCAGGGCCACTCCCCAGGCTCCTCTCTGCAGCCTGGAGGACCCAGATCATGGGCTAGGAGCCACCTTCCCAGTGGCAGCAGCTCTGACCACCGACAAGGTGGATCTCAGAAATCATCATGAAAGCAAACATTTACAGGCACCCTTATAGATGACATTGTGTCCAACATTATATATACTATAATGTAGTTGTTACTACTGTTAATTCATGCTCCATTTCCTGGAACAGCTAGATCAGCTCGACAGCAGCTAAATCACGTCTGAATGGTGTCTCCATACTAGGAATGCAAAACAGCAGTTAAACTGAATCAGACTGGCCTCTACAGTCTGTCATGAACAGCTCTCCATGAAAGAGATAAAGTGTAAACAAAATATACATTATAATTCAATTAATGATTAAAACAAATTTTGTGAATATAAACTTAGAAAGGGAGAGAGTGAGTTGGAGTATGTTTTTGTAATATTTGGGTCTTTTATAAAAATGAAGCCCTTATTTATGTAATTAAAATAAAAAGTAAAACAACGGAAAAAGCCAAAATAAAGAGAGGCACAGAGCAGCTTGATAAGCTGGGTGCATGATGTGAACTGTGGTGGGTGTAACGGTCAATGATTGTTTTTCCTATCCACCCTCTTTGGGTCTGAGGACTCCAATTTTCCCATAGGGGCCCTTTCTCGGTTCTTCCCTCTTGGTTCCTGGATTTTGGCAGGCTCCAGGGGTGGGCACATGACTCACACCAATCAGAGCCTTGTGGAAGAGGAAATTCTTTCCACCGCAATCACTCAGCTGTGAGGATATGAGCACAAAACTAACAGTGGCCGTATTTGAGGACAGCTTGCCTAAGAATAAAATGCAGAGGAAAGCAAGTCTGAGAGAATGGCAGAGAAAAAGACCTAGTCCTTACTGCATTCTCTGAGCACCTGGATCCAGCTATACCTGAAGGAGATCCTACCCCAGGCCTTTTCCTACAGTGACTCCCCCTTGTGGCTTGAGCCAGCTTGGGCTGGGACAGGCCTCACCTGGCTCAGGCGGTTCTGCAGCTCCTTTACCTGCTGCTCCACCTGCTGCTTCTCACCCTGAAGCCGTTCCACCAGCTGCAGCTTCTCCTGGCTCCAGTTGCGCTCGCTGATCTGCAGCTGCCGTGTCAGCTCCATAACGGCACTGTAGGACTCAGCCAGGAGGTGCTGCTGCTCCTCCCGCTCCCTCTGTAAGGCTGCCTTCCAGTCTGGCCCTGCCCGCTCCCCAGTGCTCTTTCCAGCCTTCAGCTCTATCTGCAGAAGGAAAAGCAAACGGAGCTAGCACCAGGAAGCCCCTCCTCTCTGCCCTCCTGCTCTCCAGGGGGCAGGGGAAGAGGGCTCCGCTCACAGAAGCCTTCGCTGACCTGCCCGCTCAGAAGTAACCCCTCCTCCCAATCAAGGCTAAGGGCTTTTCAGGCACTATCTCAGTCTCCTCATGCAAACTTGGCAAGATAACTGCCATTTTCAATATTTTACACAGGAAGAAGAGGTTCAAAGAGGTAGGGTATTTATCCCAGGTCACACAGCTACAAAATGGCAGAGGTCCCTAGTTTATTGCTTCTCATGATACTGTACTAACTCTTACCAGCAGTATAGGTTTACGGTTAGTGGGGGACATATTCACAGTCAGGTAATGAATGTGTTCAGGAATCACTCCAGCATAATGGCTTTCTCAGTCCCAAACTGCAGGAGGTAAACATGCAGCCTCTAGAATCAATGCACCCCACATCTCACAGGCTGTGGTCTGGGATCTTAACCCTCATGGGGCCATTCAGGTTCCCAGTGAGAGAACGTGCAGATGAGGCACGAGCGGCAGGGAGGGTTAGCAGAGAATGGTGGCACCGGGAAGAAGGTGAGATCATGGTCATGGGGAGCCAGGAGGGGAAAAGGTTTGGGGAGTGAGGGTCAGGTCTGCCACTTACTAGCTGGGTGACCTTGGGAAAGAAACTTAACTCCTCTATGCCTGTTTTGTTACTTGTCCAGCAGAGGTAATGAGTGTACCCACCTCCAAGGGGCTCATGACGCTCAGGAAGGCAGCCTGCAGTAGTGGCAGGCAGGAGGAAGCTAGACCCTGCAGGGTTGTGGCAGGGGATGAGGGTAGTCAGGCATTCTCCCTGTGTGGGAAGAAGCCCACACTTTCACTGAAAAGACCAGAATGGGGCAGCAACTTGCCTCCAGGTACACAAAAGAGACCAAATCCCCAGAGCTCCTGGTTAAGGCTCCTTCGGTCATGCTGGGTTGTAGGGAGAGAAGTTACTCAGTTTGAGTGGAGGGAACAAAACAGAGCCAGGTAGCAGCGGGTGAAGGGGATCCTTACAAGGAGGAAGAGAATGAGGACAGTAGGCAGCTGGAGTCTGGGCATGTTTGTGAAGGACATCACCAGGTACAGACAGGCATTTAAGCATTCTGGCCTGAGCTGTTAGCACATGGTGCAACAGAGGTGCCTCTGAAGCTTCCATGCCCTTTTATCAATTGCTCACCTTCCTTCCCTAGCTCCAAGACTCCTGGTCCCCACTGTTTCTGGTACTCTTGCTGTGTGACTCTAGGAAAGTCTCTCACCTTCTCTGGGTCACGAGGTGAGGTGATGAGAGTTCCTATGCTTATAAGAGAATAGTTTGGACATCCTGCTCCCAAATCCAACAGCTGAGGGCTTGGCTGAGAGAGGGGAGATGTCTCTGACAGGTAGGAGACTCACCTGGGCAGTATGGCTCTTAAGCTCTGCCCGCTCTGTCTCCCAGGTGGCCTTGGCTTTGGCAAACTGCTGCTGAAGCTCAGTCAGACCACGGTGCTCATTGCGAAGCAGCCAGCACAGCTCCTTCAGTGTCACCTTCATGTCAGCCAATGTCTTGATGTACTCGTTGGGCTGCAGATGGGGGCAAGGCCTGGGTCAAGAGTTTTTGGAGGGGCAGGGAGGGGAGCCTGGGCTGGTGGCATTCACCCAGAGTCCAGCCTAGGACTCTACCAGGCCTCGGGCAGGTCCCACAATTTCTCTGGGTCATCTCACATGAAGTCTCAGCCCTGAATTTTCTGAGCTGAGTCATCTCAGCCCTGGCCACCTCCTAGGCCAAATTTGTCCTCAGGGGCCATTCAGGTTCCCAGTGAGAGAACGTGCAGATGAGGCACGAGCGGCAGGGAGGGTTAGCAGAGAATGGTGGCACCGGGAAGAAGGTGAGATCATGGTCATGGGGAGCCAGGAGGGGAAAAGGTTTGGGGAGTGAGGGTCAGGTCTGCCACTTACTAGCTGGGTGACCTTGGGAAAGAAACTTAACTCCTCTATGCCTGTTTTGTTACTTGTCCAGCAGAGGTAATGAGTGTACCCACCTCCAAGGGGCTCATGACGCTCAGGAAGGCAGCCTGCAGTAGTGGCAGGCAGGAGGAAGCTAGACCCTGCAGGGTTGTGGCAGGGGATGAGGGTAGTCAGGCATTCTCCCTGTGTGGGAAGAAGCCCACACTTTCACTGAAAAGACCAGAATGGGGCAGCAACTTGCCTCCAGGTACACAAAAGAGACCAAATCCCCAGAGCTCCTGGTTAAGGCTCCTTCGGTCATGCTGGGTTGTAGGGAGAGAAGTTACTCAGTTTGAGTGGAGGGAACAAAACAGAGCCAGGTAGCAGCGGGTGAAGGGGATCCTTACAAGGAGGAAGAGAATGAGGACAGTAGGCAGCTGGAGTCTGGGCATGTGTGTGAAGGACATCACCAGGTACAGATAGGCATTTAAGCATTCTGGGCCTGAGTTGTTAACACATGGTGCAACAGAGGTGCCTCTGAAGCTTCCATGCCCTTTTATCAATTGCTCACCTTCCTTCCCTAGCTCCAAGACTCCTGGTCCCCACTGTTTCTGGTACTCTTGCTGTGTGACTCTAGGAAAGTCTCTCACCTTCTCTGGGTCACAAGGTGAGGTGATGAGAGTTCCTATGCTTATAAGAGAATAGTTTGGACATCCTGCTCCCAAATCCAACAGCTGAGGGCTTGGCTGAGAGAGGGGAGATGTCTCTGACAGGTAGGAGACTCACCTGGGCAGTATGGCTCTTAAGCTCTGCCCGCTCCGTCTCCCAGGTGGCCTTGGCTTTGGCAAACTGCTGCTGAAGCTCAGTCAGACCACGGTGCTCATTGCGAAGCAGCCAGCACAGCTCCTTCAGTGTCACCTTCATGTCAGCCAATGTCTTGATGTACTCGTTGGGCTGCAGATGGGGGCAAGGCCTGGGTCAAGAGTTTTCGGAGGGGCAGGGAGGGGAGCCTGGGCTGGTGGCATTCACCCAGAGTCCAGCCTAGGACTCTACCAGGCCTCGGGCAGGTCCCACAATTTCTCTGGGTCATCTCACATGAAGTCTCAGCCCTGAATTTTCTGAGCTGAGTCATCTCAGCCCTGGCCACCTCCTAGGCCAAATTTGTCCTAGCCTCACAGAAACAAAAATCCCTTTAGTTACAGCAGTAATTACTCAGCCTAAATCTAGGCTGGGCCCTGACTTCTTCAAGGCCCTGAAGCGTCTAGGCCCTGAATCCTTATCCTGGCTCAGGACCTGCCTCTGACCCACTGTGGGCCAGATAAGGAGTCCAAACCATGGAGCCTCCCTGACTGCTTGAATGGGTCCCCATCTTCTCTCCTTGGCCCATGATCTGTTTCTCACCTGTACCCAAGCTCATTGTTCATGCCCCCAGGAGCCTGGTCCCATTGCTTTCTCTCTCCCATGGCTTGATTTGAGGGTTCCTGACCCCACACACCTCTTAATGACCCTTGCCTGATGTCCTTACCCTGACTATGTACATCCCAAGCTGCAGCCAATCCTTGCCATACCTCTGCACACATAGTTCTCTTGGTCCAGAATGGCTTTTCCCCCTTTCTCTATCAGGCAAACTCCTATTCATCCTTCAAAACCTACCACCTATGACAGCTTCTCTGTGATACTGTCTACTGCACTCCAAACAGAAGTAACTGCTCTCTTGCCTGTGACCCCACAGTCTATCATTTGGCCCTCTGTCACTGCCTTGGGATGACTTATGTACCCCACAGCACTGATCACCTGGGGCCAGTGACCAGGCAATAACTCTCTGCAGCTCCAGTACCCAGTGTAAGATGGGTCAGAGAAGGTGGCAGGAATTGATCACTAAATAGATAAAGGAACAAATGGACAGGACAGGGAATAGGCAGAGAACAAACCGTGTTTTGGGTCCAGCTGTCCCCCGAGCAGGTCTTGTTATCAGAATGCTGGGCATTTAATTCCTCTTCCTCCATTAGCAGGTACAGCTCCTTCATGCTATTTACCTATTTTTTAAAAAATCACACTCAACAGGGCATGGGAGGGCATCGTGCCTGGGGGTCTGACCCTCAGGGGTAGGGGATTCAGGCCAGGGTGACTACACAGCCAGGCAGGAAGAAAGAATGGGGTTTATCGTGCAGAATGGACCAAAGGCACCCAGCTTGGCATTGATTTCCCACTTTTTAACTTTGACCCCTGGGCACCATCTGGGCTGAGGAGCACAACTGGAGAGTCAGGCCCTTCTCTCCTCCCACCATCTCCTCTGCCCCAAGGACCATGAGACGTCCCTGAGAGCTACTCAGAAATGACCATGTTGTTTGTCCAAGTCAAGGCAGGCACTGTGACTGGAATAAAAGGGCCACAGGCGCTCCCATCATTATTCGAAAGGAACCGAAGGTTTAGATAGACAAAGGGAAATTTTCTGGGAGGCAGGTGTGTCGCTGATGGAATCTGGGTACGGGTCCCAGGCCAGCCAAGGAGACCCAGGTACGAGTTCAGGATGGGAATGAAGCAGAAGGAAGCCATCTTCTGACTTGGGCCTACATTCATCATTCACTCAACAAATATTTATTGAACACCTACTGTGCGCCAGGCCCTGTGTTCAGAGCTGGGGATACATCAGTGAGCAAGACAGACAAAAAACCCTAACCCCCTTTAGCTTCCATTCCAAAAGCAAAAAAATAAACAAATATGTGGAATGTATGAAATGTCAATAAGTATATGGAATGTCACATAATAATAGGTGCTACGGAGAAAAAGAGAGCAGGAAAAGGAGCGAGGAGGTGCTGCACGTGGGTGGTCAAGGAAGGTCTGAGAGAGAAGGTGATATTTGGGCAAAGTTCTGAAGGAGGTAAGAGAATAAGCCATGGTCATAACAGCAGGTTTAGAATTCCAGGAAAAGGACAGCCAAATGCAAAAGCCCTGAGGTGGGAACGTGTCTGTTTGAGGAAGAGAAGTATGAGGAACAAGGCTGGTTGACCAGGCCATTATAAGGGATTTGGCTTCTACTATGGGTGAAATGGGAGCCAGGGGAGGGCTGTGAGCCGAGGAGGGACACTGGCCTGACTTTCAGTTTCATAACGTCCCTCTAGCTGCTATGTTGAGATTCATAATAGGGCAGCAACAGAGCCCCATATCGCACAACTCTAGGGGTACCATCCACACTGTGTACATGCTGCCTGGTACCTCCTGTTTAAATACAAGATGCTTGGGGGAAGGGTGCAAGGGCAGAGGTGGGGAGACCAGTTAGGCTACGGTGACGTGATGGCAGCTCAGATTGTAGGGGGCGATGTGGCTGGGTCAGATTCTGTAAATTCTAGGTATATTCGGAATGTGTAGGTAAGGGTATTTAAGCCATGAGCCCGAATGAGCTCCCCAAGGGAGTAAGTGCAGGTAAAGCCCTGAGGTCTGAGCCTTGGTGACTCTGACCTCCAGAAATCAGGTGAGGGAGAAATGGAAGGTTTGGCCAAAGGGACTGAGAAGGAACAACCAGTAAAGTAGAAGAAAAACCAAAAAAGCATCCAAGGAACCAAACGAATAAGGTTTTTCAGGTTCAGGCAGGCACTGAGGCTGGGAAGTATGTGGAGGGAGCAAGACCTGTGTGAATAAACACCCTGATTCTGTTCCTGATCACGTGTATCTAAACATACAGCTGTCTGACTATCTATATACACAGGTGCACGATTCTTCTCTGAAATCCTTGGGGCTAGGTGTGTTTGGAATTCAGAATTATCAGGATTAAGAAAGATAATATGGTACCTACACTATGTATCATATAACAGCCTCGACAAAGTCTGGCTTAACATCCTGTGCTCAAGGATACCAATATTTCCCCTGAAAACATATGAATATTAACACGAAATGGAATAAATAAAGGTTTTGCTGCCAAATGAATGTCGGGCCAATTTTTTTCAACTGAGTTAGACACAGAGAAACATAGTTCTCAGAGCTCCTCTTTCAGAATTGAGGACAAAGAATCGAAGATCTTTATCTGTAGTAGAATGGGGATAATAATTGTCTCCATATCAGAGGGTATTTGTAAAAGTGAAATGCAATAATCCACTTAAAGCATTTAATACCGTGTCTAGAACACTATGAATACCAAACATCTGAAGGTTATCATCCACATACATAGTTTTAATTTTGCATGTGTGGATACGTATATTCTTCAAAACTATGAAAGTATATCAAGTTTATTATTTACATAGTTATATGTATTTAATATGTATTTATATGTATTACATACACATATGCTTTTGTCATATTATATACATATGTGTATTGTACATGTATGTGGTTATGTTTATATCTTATGTCTCTTTCAGTAAATATGTATATTTCTATTAATTATAGGCATCTATATTTCATTTTCTATGCTTACACGTTGTTTTTGTAAAGTAAGTTACTTCTTTGTTATTTCTGTTACTTCTGTTACTTCAATACATGAAAATGGCTGGAAAGATTTTCACTAAATTTGGCAAGTTTGCCTGAGAAAAACTAACTTAAAATATAGGCTATGTGGCCTGTAGGCAATTCACTTTGGAGGGTATGGGGAAGTATCTTCCCTAGCAGCCAAAACTGGACTTTAGCTACAGACAACAGTATCATGGTTTCCCCAAAAATGTAAAAAACAGTAGAACTAACATGATCCAACAATCCCACTTCTGGGTGTATATACAAAAGAAATGAAATCTGGATCTCAAAGAGATATCTGTACTCTATCACATTCATTGAAGCAATATCCACAGTAGCTAAGATATGGAAACAGTGTAAGTGTCTGTTGATGAATGAATGAATAAAGAAAATATGGTATATACACACAATGGAATATTATTCACTCCATTCTGCCATTTTTAACAGCATGGATGGACCTGAAGGATATCGTGCTGAGTGAAATAAGCCAGACAAAGACAAAAACTACAAGATCTCACTCAAATGTGGAATCTTAAAGAAGCTGAACTCTTACAAGCAGTGAGTAGAACAGTGGTTGCCAAGGGCAGAGGGAAGGGGGAAATGGGGAGATGTTGGTCAAAGGGTACACAGTTTCGGTTGTGCAGTTCTGGAGCTCTAATGTCCAACATGGTGACCACAGTTAATGGTATTGTATTGTACACTTGAAATTTGCTAAGCGTAGATCTTAAGTGTTCTCACCACAAGAAGGAGGAAGGAAAGAAGGAAGGAAGGAAGGAAAGAAGGAAGGAAGGAAGGACGGAAGGAAGGAAGGAAGGAAGGAAGGAAGGAAGGAAGGAAGGAAAGAAAGTGGTAAC